AGAGCCCATGAAGCATCAGGAGGACCAGTGGTGACCTCGGGCCCGCGTACGACCGTTCGGTGGTACGACGACCACGAGACAATGTCGATGAGGTGTTCCCTCGTGGCTGTTGTCGGCACGCTGCTCCTCGCACCCGGTCTTGTTCAGGCCGATGGACCCGGCGCACTATGGCTTGAGCCGTCTTTGAAATGGCATGTCTCGTCCAGTCACCCAGCCGCCGCCGGCCGCTAACCGCAGTATAGGCATGGCATCGACGGCAATTGGTCGTCAACCACCCTCTATGTGGGCGAGCCTGCCCAAGAGCTCGATGTGGTCGTGAGCACCAGTATTTCCGAGATGTGGGTCGTGGAGGACAGCGGATGTGGAAGTAAGTACCTGCTGCGCGATAAGGGCCGAAGGGTTCCTGGCATTGCCTCAGAGAGACAGCGCCCCAGAAATCATCTTCCCTCGAGGATGCTAATAACTCTATCTAGGTCCTCTCTGTAACGACGCTCGTGGTGGTGTGTTCAACAGAAACGCTTCAAAGAGCTGGTCGCCCATGGGAGTCTGGCAGCTTGGTCTGAAGACAATCGGCATTCAAGCTAATGGCGACTACGGAATGGAGACGGTCGTGGTATATGACAGTGTTCGACGATGGCAGACTTCGCTCAATAAGCTGCTCGTTGCCGGCATCAACGACACGGCCGCTTATACCGGCTTCTTTGGTCTGGGGATAACCGACGGGAACTTTGGCGGTGTCGTCGCCCAAGGTCCGCTTGCATCGCTGGTGCAGCAGAGTGGTATAATACCGAGTCATAGTTACGGTTATACGGCTGGGGCTTATTATGGTATGCGCCCAAGTTGATCCCACCGTCGGCTGGTTGGCACTAACAAACAATAGCTGGTACGAAGGGTGTCCCAATGTCTCTTACTTTAGGAGGCTACGACTCCAATCGCTTTGAACCCCACGATGTTCAATTTAGTCTGAATGCCACCACAAGGCAGCCCCAGGTTTTAATACGAGGAATCACAGCTTCGGTGTCAGATGTCGAACAAGCGCCCGCAGAATGGCCCACCTCGTCCATGACTCTGTCGGCATTCAATGAATCTATGATTGCTAAGATCGACAGTTCAACACCTTATCTATGGCTTCCACCGGCCATATGCGATCGTTTCGCCACCGCTCTCAACCTTACTTGGAATGAGACATTGGGGCTGTACATATTCTCGAACAACGACAACTTGGAACGTTACCGATCAGCGCCTGACCTATCATTTACGTTCATATTTTCCAGCGTGGACAACAAGAACAATTTTGGCTCGCCAAACAATATGCCGGGTGTTGTCAATATCACCGTCTCGGCGAATGCGTTTGTGCAGAGTCTTCAGTATCCATTCAAGAATATCATCGATTACGGGGCACCAGCGATTCCATACTTCCCCTTGAAAAGAGCCGAGGATGGGAGCCAACTGACTATAGGGCGCTCATTCCTGCAAGAAGCTTATATAATCACTAACTATGAGACGGAAAGGTTTTCCATACACAAAGCTCTATTCCCCGAGAAGCCATTGCGGGATACGTCCATTCAAACCATACCAGCCTCCGCGGACAGTCCTTATCCTGGCCCAGCGGTTTCCAAAACCGAGGACTCGCATAACATAAACCAAAATCAAATTGCAGGCGTTGTAGTAGGTGTGTGTGTAGGGGCCATTGCTTTGGCCACGACCGTGGTCCTTTTGCGACGAAGGCGGAGGTCGTTCAAGGACGACGGGAACCAGAATAAGATGACAGATTACAAGGAGAATTACTCTGCGACGGAGCCAGAGTCACCCATTAGTCCCAGTGCAATGACCCTATTCCGGGCAAAGACGCGAGCAAAGAAATGCCAGAACAAGGCAGGCAAACAAGAGGGTCAGATCGCAGCCCATGAAGTTGCTGCGGACCGGAGCCATGAACGGTATGAAATGCCAGCCCCGCTGCCAGTTGAACTCGACGCAACCGATACCACAACGAGCGCCTATTTCACAGTTCCTGCTGGCGAGGACACCCACAGCCAAGACTCGTATAACAGGCCACAGCAATGGGCTCAGCCATCACTTCAACCAGGAGTGTCAGGTGCCATTCCGGGGCCTCTACACGCTGACAATAGAACGGCCCATATTCCACCGCCGATTAATACTCGCTACCGCGATAGCCCCTCGCCTAAATCGAGTCCTGTTCATGAGTATGATATGAACAGAATGCCTTCCCCGGTAACACCCCCTAGTGACGGCTTCACTTATTTCGGCGATTATCCTTCTCCGATAGGTGGCATCTTCCCAGCTCGGACACTTTCCAGTTCTACTGCGCCAGTTCCTACCATTATCGATACGCCACCATCCCCGACCAGAGTAAATAACTCGGCAGACCTTGTACGCTCCGAATCGTCAGCAGCGCCCATCAGTTCCCAGGCAGCAATATCTTTGCCAGCGCAGTCTCTGATTCAGAGAACGCCAATTGATTCCACACATGTCGTCTGTCTCGGGCCTTTACCTGACAATGTCCGGCTCCCACACCAGCTGATGATACGTAGACCGCCTGAGGTCCAAAGTCATGACTATGTCTCATCTATAATGCCTAGCATTCCGCCACAACATCATTCGAGACGGCAATCTACGGCCGATACATTAGGAAGCAATTTCACCCTCGAGGAAGAAGCAAGGGTAGCGGCGACTCATCAGGGTAACCAGGGCACGTCCGCCGTCGGAAGAATAGATGGTCTCGACATCGTCCACGTTCCACAAATGGCCCATCAGCGCTATAGCTGGGAACAGGAACGGTAGCACTGCTTGCTCGCCGCCTTTTATAAACCCGCTACTTTCTGAGTCATATTCTTGAGGCAGACTCGACACGCGAAGGTCTTAAGACACGTATACCCACAAGCTTTAATTTTACTTGCTAGACGCATCTGATCTTGTCTTTGTTTCCTTTTTTATTTTTATCTTTATTTTCTTTCGGGCAGTATTTATTCCCATTTGCATATATACCTTGGGATGTCTGCGCAGTTATATAGGCCAGCGACGGAGTTCACGGCACCGCGATTGTCTCGCTGGTTTGAATACCATCTTACATGACCTTTTGGTCCAGGCTGGATTTGATATTTTTGGATCAAACAAGAATTAACATACGGAGCATTCGTTGGGGGTTGATGCCTCGAGGCAGAGCGAGCATTCCTCGCTGGAATGCCATTTACTCCACGAACTTGACGGTCAGATAGGCGGACTGCGCACGGGATACAGCGGCTTTCATGGGCCATCTCATCGACAGGAAAAGATCGTGTTTGTCAGTCGGAATCTCCGCGATTTGGACACAACCCCACACGTTGTGACTATTTAGAGGCGAGCTGAACTGGGGGGCCACATCAAAATTGCTAGCGACATGGCGGCAACGGAGATATTGGTTAGCAGACCTCATTCTTGGATAGGGAACTAGTGCACTACACAGGCGACGGACCTGGGCCTTCAGCAGTTGCAAGTTTACTCGTTGTAGCTAGAATTGAGAAGAAGAAGAAGCTTTCTATACTTTTAGTTAAAAAGGACCTAAAAAAAATAAAGAAACCATATCAGCCTACTTAAATTTTTTCTATTCACTTTAGGTTTAATGACTTTGACACCCTATTAAGAGGAGTGAGTATTCCTGGCTTCGAAAGAGTCGACGGACTATGTGCTCCTGAAGCACTCAAGCCAGAGAGGGCTCTGGTGCAAAACGGCCTTGCTTGAACGCGACGAGACACAAAATTTGAATTATGGGACGTTCCCTCTACCTTGACACCAGTGAATATCACGGGGCTTTTCACAAAGTCTCACATCTCAGGTTACGACCAATTAGTTGTGCCCGACTGGTGATTGGAAGATTAGGATAACAGCAAACTCAAAGACGGCACTGTTCACTTTAGAAACTTTCTATAATCAAAGGAGCACAATGGGGGGCGTATAAAACTAACTAGAGCAGCTTACGGCGGGCTTTGAATGTCGTGGGCGCAGAATTAGAGTGCTGGGGACAAACAGCAAAGCAACACAGGCCCTCACGATAAGACAGACATCTTAACAGTGCGAGACAGAAACGAGGAAATAAAACTAGGGGTTGGGTTTACGGATGCCAGCCAGTCAACATGCGAGTTTTTTTCCGAGGAAGATGATACAGCTTATTTTTACTTTCGGTATATGGGAAACGTAGGTAGTGCGAGCGTCGAACTCCTCTCCCCTCATACAGTTTCCCCGGTGACTATCCACTGGAGGAAGGTCTTACTTACTATAGGCATCTATACAGATCGCATTGTGAGGGTAAATCGTAGACCTCGTTCAATCACGAGACCACCTTGCCCCTCTCTCTATTGGGGTTCGTTATCCTACCCGGCATCTCGAGTGCCCAGTGAGTAAGTGGCCAGGGGGTAAGCTATGTATGGCGCGAGGTGACCAATTTCCCGAGACCATGGGATGGGATCGCAGGACTTTAAGAGAACGCCGCCTATTACCACGAATTCATCCCTATGTGTACAGAACGACAAGGAGCATGTGGTACCTATTCACTCGCTGCTCGCCTATCGACATCACTAGTCGAAGACACGAAAAGGGACATGAAAGGCGTGGGCGGTGCCTACAAGGTACTGTTGTGTTGTGTTGTGTTGCTCACAGTGAAATAGGGTCTCGCGCTGGTAGAAACGGCCTTACATGTATTTCACTTCATCACTGCTCATTTCATAGGGGCTGCTTCACCATTACTACTAAAATAAAGTAGGCATCGGTCGAAGCTATAAATGCATGTCTCCTTCCCCCTAAGTAGTCTCACCTTGCGCCCCAACAAAACCAAAAACAAGGGGGAGTGGACAGAGGATTGCAACCAAGGTTTGTATATAACAAGGCAAACTTGCTTGCTCACACCATTTTAAAAACAATTAAACAGGAACAAACAAGAACAAAATAAGAAAATTAAGTGCAGATTTCAAAAATCGACAATTCAGTAAAAATAAACAAAAAATAACGGGTCTGGCCGGGGATTGAACCCGGGACCTCTCGCATATCCAAGCGCGTTAACGCTTTTTATGGCATAGGGTGTACCCTAAGCGAGAATCATACCACTAGACCACCAGACCGTAAGAATCCCACTTTCCTACTTCGTGGGAGACCGTGATTCCTTGTGTGAGAAGCAGCCGTTCTAATTGAGTTTAAGAAGCGGTCGGGATACGTGCGCCGGTCAAGCTTTAAATTTCATGTCTGATTAGGTACCTAGGTAGGTAGTGGAGATGGAATTAATCAATAGCGTTGCCACGTAACATAGCTGCCGACATCACGAACCAGCCAGTTTCGTAGGGTGAGTCAATGGTGTATGTGGTGTTGTCACAGGCCATCATCGAGCTTCACCTTGAACTTGGGGAGTACAGGCCTCAAGACAGTGTTGTGTATAGGGGATTTGTATGCTGGTTGAGTCTACCTGCCTTAAAGGCCGTGTCATGGACTCGGATGTCGACACGGTCCCGTTATTCACGAGAAGGCGGTCAGATTTACTCCGTAAAAAACTACCAGCATGAAATTCATATCAAATCCATGAACTTAACTAAGTGTTGAACAAAACGATTAAGCCTCTCGGCAAGAATAGAACAAACAGGCAAAGCAAGAAGCGAAACACCGATACCTATCCACCCCTGTCTCTATCTTGGAAAACTCTATATTGCCTTCCCTTTCCCCTTACCCCATCCGTCTCCGCTCAGGGAAGGGAACTCATCTTCACTCGTCCCCGGATTAACCATCGCTTTTCTACTCTCCTCCTCGGCAAGACTCAGCTGCAACGCTAGCTCGAGGTCGTCGTCGGCAACAGGAGGGTCATCCACTATCGCTCTCGACGATGATCCGGCGTGATTCAATATGGGTGTACGGCTCCACGAAGGCGATCTAGATAGAGAACTAGACGAGGACTGCTTGCCTTTCTTCTCCTTGAAAATAATAGGACCCTCAAACTCGCTAGAGCCATAGCCTTTGGGAGACCGACCAAGGTCATTAACGCCCTCTAAAAGGGACAACCGAATAGCAGTCTGTATCTGAAGTTCGTACTCGTTCTCACTCATCGCCTCAACCACAGTGCTGGTGTTGCCGGTCGGCGGAGTTGTATCGGCGACACTGGGATCGGGAGTAATAGTATCCATGCTCTCTGCCGTTGAGGTCGTATCAAAGTCCGCAGCTGACCCGGTGTCGCTGTTGCTCGTTCGCCGTTGCTCCTCGACTAAAAACGACTCCTGAGATATCATTTCTGCGTATTGTAGGGCCTCCTCTTCGCTCAAGTTGTTTATTCCGAGGCCAAAGCGAGACCTAAGCCGGGCCTGTTCCCGTGCCTTATGTCGCTGCTCGTCCCGGAGCTCTTCAGCCTCGGCAGCAATGTAGCCTTTGACGCCCCCGCCGTGACGTCGCCCGGCGAGGCGGCCATGAGCCTCGGAATGTCGAAGCCTTCGTTTGCGACCGGCAGTCTGGTTCGAAGAGCTGTAAGCCCAGTACCGCACAAAGGTGCCAAAAGCTACGATGCCATGAAGGACGGTAGGATCTGGGTCTAGATAAATGGCACCGACTGCGGAAAACCCTGTATCGCTTCGAGTGGGATTCAGAGCAAGGAGATGGCGAGGCATGCGACCAGGAGAACGGGAATTCAATGTGCGAACCGGGTCCAGCGTGGAAGCTAAGGGATCCCATGCTTGAACAAGCCCGTCACTTCCGCCATGGACCAGGTACAGAGCTGAGAGTGCCAGACATGAAATTTCCGTCGACTCGGTTTGAATAACACGGACTGGGAATATGCCGTCTCCTGTGTGGCCGGCTCGCATGTTCCACAGTACTACTTTCCCGGTATTCGTGCCTATACCAATCAACCTCGCTCGCCGACCAGGAATATCAGAGGGTACCTGTCCAGATGGCGTTGCAGAGCCGGTAGCTGATAGTCCAGAAGCCTCCTTTAACGGATCTTCGAACGAGGCAACTAACGCCATAAGTGATGCATCAACGGCGCTTGCGGTAATGGTGACATTGCCAATCTCCTTGGACGAGAAGGTCGTCTCTACCCAGTCGTCTGACACTTTTGTGATGGTAGGAATGGGTGGGAGTGGTTGTTTACTTGACGATGATAAAGCTCGCTTGAGCGAAGGAGAACTCGAAGACTTCGGGGAAGTAGATCGGGTGCCATCACCACCAAATATGGATTGGCCTGGTGCTTGTCCTGAGGAAGATCTTTCAACTTGCGGTGGCGTCGCACTTGGTTGGGGCGTACTGATAATATTTCGAACATAGCGTCTTAGACCCCATGTTTTATCGTCATCTAACGCACAATCCACGACGAAGACGCCTTCTCCAGCATCTAGTTCGTTATCACTAGAGAAGTCGACTTCTAGTCTTCGACGCATGTCCCACCCATAACAAACCTTCCGGAAATGCGATGGCTTATAGCGCAGGAACTTCTCAATCTCTCGCGCTTCAGCAATCATTTGGTCTCTTGTCAAGCCCATAGCATTGGATGGCGTTCTTGGCGAGTAGCTACCTCGAACAGCGTTTCTTCCCGATTCATCGGGACGCGACTGTCGCCGAGTAGCTTCGATAAGGTGCCAGTAATTTGAGCGACCAGTATGCCAAGCGAGCTTGGTACTGTCGTCAGCTTTGGTCTTACTCTGGGGCGGAGTTGGGGGTTGGGTCAAATAGTAGACCTCACCCAAGGCGTTGAGAGCAACTGCCCAGACACGGTTGAGAGCTTTTCTCTTCTGGCTGTAGCTATCATCAACCGCCAGTGCAATGATGGGTACGCCAGGACTCAGCACCCAGCGAGCACTTATTTCGCCAGGGATGTACCGCGGGCCCGAGGGGTCATAACCAATAGCATAGGTAGTAACAACCCCCAAAGACGATCCGGTCATAATACCCACCATAGATTTAGTAACAGTGGGTACGGAAGACGATTTAGCAATCCAAACAGAGCAAATGCCTTCAGAGAGTTCCGGGATTTTGGGAATATCAGGATGGGCTTCGACTAGACCGGTCTCTTGGCCAAGGTATTTCCCTCGATACTCTCCAGTCGGGCGGAAGAATACACGACCGCCTGGAAACCCTTCACCGCCGACGAAACCATAAGGCTGGCTTACATCCATGACATTAGGCATAGCCGCCGGCCCTTCCCCCATGCCGTAGGGGATAAGCTGTGGCATAACCTCGTCCAGCTGAGCAAAAGCGAAAGGGTCGTCTAGGCCCCATTTTTCCACCTTCCCGACTGTAGGATCGCTGGCGCTACCAACACCCAGGTCCGCGGCACCATGGATAACGCGTGGTGGTTTCTTGCCATTCGACTTGAAGGTGGCGTGAACATGGGTAATGATGGAGGGGACCTTGGCGTTGTAGGTCAAAACTGCGGTTGCCTTCTTGCCAGTCTGGCTAGCGCGCAGAGACGCACCAACCCCTCCCGCCTTCGCTCCAGGTTTTCCTCTAGAAAGGCTGCGGAGAAGGCGGGTTCTCAAGAGGTATTCGCTGCGCCAAGAGGCATGCGGAGTCAGGCGGGTAAAGACCCGCACTTCGGACCGGACGGTATCGCCATCCTCCTCGCCCCATGCAACGCCCGATGGTTGGGCCGGAATAACCAAGGCATCCTGGGCGGGGAAGAAGCGCTGAAAAGCCATGCGCCATGCATGAGGCGTGGTAATCAAGGCACAGAACCGCTTCGACACCAAGGCCACAGAGGCGTGCGAATCGGGATGCAGATGGGAGAGTATGTGTGTCAAAATCTCTATAGTCCCGAATTAGGATCGCGGGGGCCAGACAACCGCGGGAATGAGCGCATACCATTTGGGAGATGATCGATGCTGACACCCGGTGTCTCGCCATCGGTGCGCTTAATGACCTTGAAGCCCAGGGCTTGTCTGGGGACAGAAGGGGTCAAGGCATTCTCGTACTCGGCAATCCGCTGACCAGCGAGCGGAATGCGCCCGGGAGAGGACTGGCCGACACTCAGTCGGCGCAGGTGTTCCTCGAGGACATGCGGGTGGATGCCTCGGCCGGGGGGGCTGAGCGAGTCGGTCTCGCTGGCAGAGCGCGGGGACACATCACGATCCGGCTGTTGCTCGGGGCGGCGGGCTGAGCCGCTCGCATCATAGCGCTGGGGGCCATACTGATGGGAGGGTTGAGGCGAGTGGGATATGCTTTGCTGGCGGGTCGGCTCGAGGATGGTGGAAAGCTCTAGTTGCATAAAGTATTGCGAGATATACAAGGGGCAATGGTGGCGTGACTGTGCGATGGTTGCTGGCACAGTCAATGGACGGGGCAATCGACAATCGACAAACGAGTAGCAGTTGTACGTGGGGGCGCGTGGAGGTTGGAGAGGCTTGTTTATGTGAACTTGAACTTGAACTTAATTCAAGCAGGGGGGAGGGAAAGGTGAGGAACCAGCTTGAGGTGGAAATTGCCCGCGATTTTCTCTCATGGCAGTAGGAGTACCTACCGCGGCGCGCCGAGCTCTCTGTGGCGTTGGCGCAAGTCAAAGGGTGTGGCGTACCAACATGTGGCGCGCACTATCTAACTGCCTGTAATGACGACAGGCCCCATCCGCCGAAGCCCCTGTCACAGGTTTGTGAAGCTTCTGCTGGAGAACGCGTAGGCTGTGTACGTAGCTCACTAAGAACTCGAGTAACCTCTAACCTCCCTAAGCTAAGTTAAGTAAGTACCTCCTAAGGCAGTCAAGACGCCAGCCAGCTTCCCGACAGACACAAACCCAAAGCCGACGAACGACCAGCTCCGAAACGCATCTGCCTAACCCAAAGCCTCCCGACGAACGACAAGCCCCGGAAAGCATCTGCCTAACCGGCCCCAACAAAAGCGCATATAGTATCGTTGTGCGACTCGAGGAGAAGACCGTTACTCTGCTGCCTGCTCGGTCGACGGAACGAGGCCAAACACCATAACCGCCATACACCTACTGAACAACGCCCTGTCAAATCAGACAAGCAGATCATCATCACGCCCAAGATGGACTTCTCCGACTCCTTGTACGTATCCCGGTGCCCGGCGCGGCGAGCCGCTGTCTTGCGCATCTCGCGCATGTGCGGCTCTGCGCAGTTTGGACTCGGTTGCGCTAACACGGCCCGCATCTCAGCCGCATCGTCAACCTCGTCGTAGGTGTCGTCATGATCCTGGGCGGCATATCGCAGTTCTTCAACGCTAGCATGTGAGTTTGCGCGCTCCTCCGTCGATAGCTAACCCCCCCATTGTCGTACCTCGCGCGCGCCCTCCCCCGATCGGTTTCGTCGCAAGGTCCAATGTCTCCCCATCTATGCCGGTAGACAAGCTGACCGCGACCAAAAAAAACAGCCAATCCATCGTCATCGGCGTCTACGTCATAATCTTTGGTGCCTGCGTCGGCCTCCTCGAATTCCAAATCCCGCCCCAGGTATCTCGCTACGCGTCCTTCATGTTCTCCTTCATCGGTCGTGGAATCTGTACGTATCTGTCGGCGCCCACTTCCCTCACAACTACGGCTGTTGTTTCTTCGGGCATTTTCCATGCCGCGCGCCACCATCCCCCGTATCAAACCATACTGACCAAGCCGTAGTCTACATCTTCATCGGCTCGATCCTGCTCTCGGACCACTGGACGCGCTACGTCGCGGGCTCCATCATTGGGCTCACCGGCCTTGCGTATACCGCTCTCGAATTCGTTCCCTCGATTGAGCCGCCTGCCAACATGCGTGAGGCTGACCAGGGCTGGGGCGCCGAGCAAGTTTAATCACCGCTTCCCACTCTGCAAGAAACTCAAAGAACCCCGCATCTCCCACCTACCATTCTTGTCTGTATTTCCTAGGGCACTGTTACTGCGCGCACATCTGGAACATGGGTGTTGTAGTCTCGGCTACGGGGTAAGGAGTTTGTCTCGGGGGTTGATAGTTAAGGAGGGCCCGGTCTACAGGTTCTTTCTCAAACGTAACGGCGAAAAGGCGAATAATATGGGGTTGAAGATTAACTTGTCGTCTAAAATGATGTTTTTCAGCTAGGATTTATAAGTGGTTGAGTGGGTGGACGGTTGTCGGAAGATGGGATCGCTCCTTGGGCATGTTTACATCTTACTGAACCCGACTGTATATTAGACAACTAGTGGAACCTAAAAGATAGTCGCGAGGACATATCATCGTGGTATTTGCCACCAATGGCCCTCAGGCAGCTCTAGTTTCAGATACGAAGGAGTTATGCAGAACCCTTGCGGTCTTGTAGAGGCGAATGCCATGTGTGGTCATATGCCTACTTGACCACCTACCTAGCTAAGCTTGGGAATGTGGCTATGTGCACGTCGAATAATAGGTGACAATCCATCTTGAAGAGAAGTGTAGGAAAACCTTAACTTTCGAAAAGACAATAAACATTATACGGCTACTACCACTCTGTAATTATTTAGCCGCACGACGACAGGAATGGATAACACGCGAAAAGAAAACAAGAGGACGGGAAAGGGACGAGGGGGGAAAAGACAGGGGTAAAAAAAAGAAGGATGTTTCTCGTCATCTAGATTGAAGACAGAGGTTGACTGCAGGATTGATTATTGGCACCAGAGGGAATCGAACACTCATCTGCGCGGCCACAACACGCTGTACTAACCATTATACGATGGTACCCGTGGATCTTTAACAAACCCGTCTTCTTCCGTTTCCAGCGTGCTTAGGTGGCACTAGGGGCTTTCGTTAGTCCCGCGTGCTTCACAGTTGCTGGCTCAGGAAAAAAAGAATCTACTGGTAACTCGTGAGGGATATACAGCTCGTAGGGTTCCACCTGTAAAAAGTAATGCTGCAATGACCTCCGATATCGTGAAGTAAGGTACTTATCGATCTGGTAGTAGTACATTTTGTGTGTTCTACTTTTTTATAAGCTTAGAGTTAAAACATGCAAATCAAGGACGAACCTATAAACCCTTGGTGCATTGGGGGATTTGTATCGGGATTTTGGGCCACGGCAAGATGGCAGGAATGATATTTCTGCGCGGTGCTCGCCAGACCGTCTGACTTATATGCACAATACCGAATAAAGGACGGGCTGCACCTATAAAGAAACCCCAAAACCGAGCACAGGGTTGAGTGAGGTCTAATAAGGGAACCATCGTAAAATATAGTGCAGATTTCTCAAGTCAAAGATTAAATACCGGCATCAAGATGGCATACACTCACTCTCGGAAGAATCAGCCCAAGGCTCGCTATCACCGCCACAATAAACTGCCTAACTTGGACATAATGTAGTCTTGCGGCCTATTATTATCATTCATCATGGATTCGTAATTGCTGATTAAGCTGGGCACGTCAGGTGCTACTACCTACCTACTATGTAATGCAATTTTGTGCCTGGTAACAATTCCACGTCCAGGAGGGTTTAGAACGGGAAAACATCCTTTACTCCACATCTACAAGGATCTAATAAGGCAAGCTCGCTCCCCTCCAATGACGCCGAAGCCTTAACATGGTTACCGCTTCCTGTATTCCTTAAAACACCATTTGATGCCTATTTCAAATCCCAATAGCTTCCTAAACTCCTTGAGCTGTCCTTCTGTCCTGAAAAACAACAACCTATCATACGCCATGTATGCATAATTTATCCACGCCGAAGATGCTGGTACTCGGGGGTGAAATTTGGATCGGGCCCTCAACACTCTTTTGATGTGGATCGCCAACCATAATTATCCGGGGTTTGTATAACCGTCATTCTTGGGACTCATGTCCCGAAACAAGGGCCTCAAAGGGTGCTCAGCTTGTTATGAAAGCATGAATATATCTTAATCTCCGAGGGCTGCCAACTCTCTTTCCTTGGCCGCGAGCAACTCGCGCATACGTTCGGCTTCTTGTTGTAAGGCGGCTCGTCTATCTGCTTTGGATCTTTCGCTTTCTACAGTCGTCTCCCGGGACCGCATACTTGGAATCATGCTCGACGTAATCGAAAACCCGCCAGGGCTGGGGGCAGACATCAGTGTGCTTGCTGGGGAGCGTAGTCGTAACACCTCGGACGCATCGTCTGCCACCAAGCCAAAATTCGGGCTGGACCCACTAGTTGGATTGAGGATTGATTTAATCGAAGATAGCCTCTTGGTATGTTCCTGATTGAACTCGCTGGGCGGGACATCGGAATCCGTTGCCGAGAACGATCGTTTTCGTCTCGATGAACCGAGAAAAGAGGCGGGAGACATAGATGACTGCCGATCGCTCATAATGGACGTCAGTAGTGGGAGACGGTTGTCGTCGCTCACCGAATCGCGGCCACTGAAGGGTTGCAGCGTCTGGGATGCGTAATATCCCATGGGATCGGTTGATGGTATTGGCGTAGATCCCTGGCTCGAATGCACGGGTTCGGGTAGGAGCGTTAAATGCTCAGTTTTGCGTCGGAGCCCTAAATTCACGGAGCCGTCTTCGTTCATAGTACCGCGTTCCACCTCGGATTCGGCATACTGGCTCTGTTGCTCTACTGAATCTATAACCACCCCATCTTCTGCATCTGCCGACATGTCCTCTGGATTTGCTGGTATTACTCGTTTTCTCCGCTTGATCACGGATTTTTTCATCGTCACGGGTCTGTGGACGCCATGAAGCTTGTAGTACAGTCCTATATTTAGGGTTTAGCGCTTAACACAGTAAATTTCCAGCTTTGACGTACCGCAAGCGTTACAGATTGTATGTCCAGCCTCATCACGGCGCCATAAAGGGGTGATAGTTGTGCCACAGTTTTGGCAGGCTATCACTACAGTGGTATTCTGAGCCTGCCCTTTATTTTCTAGTGCGTTGACATCGATTGGTGCTGGCCCGTCACTGGCCGTGCTGTCGACAGAATTGGGGAGCTGACTTTGGAGTTGAGCACTCTTCGCAATCCTATTGTTATAGGCAGGGCAACCGCTGCAACCGTCAGCACCACCAGTACCATTACATCGCCCACCACCTGGACATGATCCCGAGGGCGTCTGGTCTGCGGCAACATATGTAGCACCTGGCATACTGCCCGCATTTCCCTGCGAACAGGATGCTGGTGCGGCCTTCTCCCCGATTCTGGTTTGTGTCGTTGTAACTATCGAAGGCGGGCGCTTCAGGTTCGTCGGGCGAGCAGAATTCCTTGCCTTCAAGTACAATCCACAGGCGTTACATATTGTAGCTCCCTGAGGCGAGCGTCGCCAGAGGGGTGTCCTTGTGGTCCCGCAATTGCTGCTTATTATTAATAAACGTGGGCAGCCACCGTCGTGCTGGGTGTACATACCTGCATACTTGACCGCCCTGGCTCGTGCTGGCTGGGGACAGGCTTACAACTGTTGGAGTCTCTTGCCGGTTTACGTCAAATGGAGAGGGACTTTTGGAATAGACTCTGTCGGATCCATTGATTGATGGGCTCGGCCCCTCTGAGGATACGCCTATGCTTCGGGCGGCGGGACTCGTTGATCCTGCAGGAGAAATGCTGTTGAAACTGACACGCTCGGACGATCGACTATTATATTCTCTTGATATGGTAGGACGTGAAGGAAGAGCTGTCCTTGTCGACGAGGGCTCGTTTCTGACTAGCCTTGGCTGTGAATGTGGCGCAACCTCCATCATGGCGAATGTGATTGAGGTTCACCCTTGCTGGTGTGTGCGTGCGCGCGCGTGTTGACGCAGAACACGGAATGTGGCACGAGAGATATCGACGAAATCCAAACGAGTATAGACCTGTCCTGTAATTGTGAGCCTCGGAAATCGCCGGAAAACAGCAATAACGAATGTCCGTGAGACGTCGGTATTAGGGACCATGCTCGGATTTATAGGAGCTCGGGGCCGAATACCAGGAGAGGGAGCTGTCTTTTTAGAGAAGCAGTTTTGGAGGGAGTGTAAGATGCTATTTAAGCAAACATTGAGAGAATTGTGATGCTGACATGCCCATCCCCCTGCTACTTAGAGAGGGATGATAAAGGTATATCTATGAGTGTAGCCGACTCAATAGCTGCGCGAAGCAGAGGATAAACAGGACACAGGTTGCAATATTGACCAGGAATGGGCGGCCAAGCCAAATACGAGCAGAAGGTCAGGGAGGGGGGCTATTAAAGGGTCCCAGGCTAGGCTTAACGCTGCGAGGGGCGGAGAGAGTAGTAAGGAAGGCAGGGAGGATATAAAAACAGGAATATATACAACAGACGTGTAGGGAGAACTGGGCATTTTGGACTGAATGGCTTACCTTGTGTCGTGGGGGCTGTTCGCGTTCAACGTCTCAAGCCAACCCGGCGAGGAACCAGAAGAGATGATGGAAGGTTGAGAAAGAGCCAACAATTGGACCAGTATCGGACTAGTAGGCGTATCACCGGTAGTACCGCTGGCAGTGCTACCGGTTACCGGCAGGGCAGGGCAGAGCAGGGCAGAGCAAGGCAGAGCAAGGCAGGCAGCACAGGGCAGCGTGTGCAGCTAGCTGGTGGCGCTATCCGGCAGTGTCGAGGTGGCGAATCACGCCAGACAGATAGACGATAACGAGGTTGATGGTGGTCGATGGCGGCGGATGGCGGCGACAACAATGCTTCGGAGGCGGAAAAAGGCCCTTTCGTCTGGGTATGGGTCACGACCAGAGACGGGCCAGGGAGCAGAGAAGGACGGAGCAGCGACAAGACCGGGAGGGTAATGTGGGCTCGTGGAGTGCCGGGCCGGGCGGGTGATGGCCAGTGATGATAGTCTGCTGCAGTCTCCAGTCTCTTAGTCTAGGTAGTCTCCAGACTCTAGATAGACCACACGTCTTGGGAGGAGTGGGCGTGGCCCGAGGTGGACTGGTGCGTGCGTGATATGACGAACGTACGACCAACTACGAAGGGAGACGGACGGACAGAGGACGCAGTAGGTACGTGCCTGTCTGTGCCTGTGCCTGCGCCTGCGCCTAGTTCCTGGGATATGTCGGATATGTCTACGCACGTATGTGTATGTGACGAAGTGTCGGGGCAGGTCGACGGGGGACGTGTCACCGCTCCTCATGCACACCTGCTGCCTGCACTCCCAGCGAGCCAACTGGCGACGGGGATGGCAATTGGGGATTGGGATGGGGGATTGGGATTGGGATTAGTGACGGTCGAGGCTGTGTTGTTCTGTCCCAAGTGGGCAAATGAGCATGGCTTGGCACGTGTCGATGGATCGTAGGATAACACCTTAGCATAAGCCCCCCCGAGCCGGTGCTGTCTCACGATTGATCTCGACCTGATTATTATTCCGCCGCCTCTCATTCGCCCGCCGCGAAGCATCTCCATGGGCCGGAAGCAGGGATCACAGGCTAAGCATTGGCGCTAGGCTTCCTTGGGCTGTGTACACACCTTTAGTACAGCCTGTACAGGTACTTGAGTACTACCTAGAGGGCGGTGGGCACTCATGGCACCGGTACGCGGACGGGCCGGCCAACTTTTGGAGTCTTGGCGCCCCTTAGCTGGCATCTTGCCATTCTCCTCTCCTTGCAGGTTACCCTACATCTTGAATAAAGCTCACTGTGATGTTCTGTGCGGAGCCGGGGGAAGGATGGCCTACTAGTAGAGCGCATCTCGTGTCGACAGAGTAGGTAGGGTGATAAATCGGTGACATTCTAATAAGGGTCGAAATATAGCCTCTGGCGGGGAAGAAGCGAGTCAGGTGCCGCTCCTCCAAATAAGTGCTAA